TGTTGATCAATCTCGTTGAGGGGCTTCTCCTTTTTCACTGACCCTCTATTTTACCTAGCATGATATCCTTCTCCCCCTGGAGAGGACTTGTCCCTTCTGACAACGTGACAAAAGTACCTGAGGCAAAGTCTGGCTATTCTCGCTTCTAAGGAGTGTTCCAGTGGTATTTCTTCTAAGACAGATTTATTCATTTTTCTGGCATTCCATGATATTTTCAATATTCTTCACCAACACCACAATTCAAATGCATCAGTTCTTCAGCTGTCTTCATTATTTATTGTCCAGCTTTCACATGCATATGAGGCTATTGACAATGGCTTGAGGCAGGAGCACCTTAGTTTTCAAAGTGACATTTTGCTCTTAAACAATTTAAAGAGGTCTTTTGCAGATTTAAGAGCTCTGGTAGCGTAGGACATGTGTTAGACTGGGTTCTCTAGAGAAACAAAAACCAGCAAAGCTTTTATATATATGGAGAGAGAGAGAGAGAGAAATTTATCTTAGGAAAATGGCTCACAAATGTATAGAAGCCGGCAAGTCCAAAGTCCCTGGATCAAACGTCAAGCTGGAGGTCTTTCCTGGCTCCCGCAACCACAGGGGCCGAGAAGCTCAAGGCTGGCAGGCAGTACACTGGCTGTTGACTTCAACAAATGACAAATCCAAGATCTCCAGGCCGAACGGTGGACTGCTCACTCACGAACAGTTGTAGGCAGCACAACAGAATCCCGATCCACAGAAGAATGTCTCTCTTCCCAGGATGTCCCTGGATATCTGGAAGCAGGCCACACCCCTAGGGAAACTCCCCTTCAACAGATTGGCCACTCAGAACACAGTCATCCGATCCCATCACGGGAACAAGCACACAGAACTGGGGTCCAGCCAAGTTGACATACAGCTCCAACTATCACAGTACCTAAGGCATTTGACTGCTAACCAGAAGGCTGGTTGTTCAAACCCACCAGCCACACCTTGGAAGGAAGATTGGGCAATCTACTTCTGATTACCCAATAGGAAGATTGGGTAGTGATACCACCTCGGAAACCCAAGGAGGGGTTGCTATGAGTTGCAGTCGACTTGAGTTTAGTTGAGCTTAATTGAAAGATTAATAAACATCAGCCACAGTGCTATACACTACAATATAGCTGTGCACAAGAGAAGTGGTATGGTATAAACTCTCACAGTAGGAATGGAGACAATAAACTGGCAGTTACAACAGTAATGTGTCAAGCACTGGGATGAAGGAAGGATTGAGATCCTGTGGAGGCAAATGGGAGTGTAATTTATTCCAGATTTAGGGCAGGGCTGGGAGTGATCGGGTAGGGTTTCTATGTGAGGAAACATGTAAGCTGAGACCTGAAAAACAATCCAAGCTAATATTGGAAGGACAGAAGAAAGTGTGCCAGACCAAAATAAAGAAAGAAAGAAAAAAAAACTATTGAAGAAGGTTTGAAGTGAAAACATTGTATTTAAAGAACTGATTGGAGTGGATGTGGACAGGGGATGAAGGATGAAGGGAGGGTTCTGGGAAAGGCCAAGCTTAATAAAAAAAAAAAAAAAAAAGGAAGGGCTTTATCCTGAGAGTAATGGGGTATCAATGAGATATTTTTAAATATATGAGTGACATGTTGAAATGTTTCCACTTTGGCTACAGTGTAAAATGGAGGAAAGCAGGTTGAGAGACTGGGAGACCAATTTAGACAGTGGGAGATTATGGTGGTTCAGACTAGGATGGTGACAATGTGGTGGTGGTGATGGTTATGGTCTTACTGGAGAAATTTCGGAGATAGAATCAACAGGAGTTAGTGATTTCTAGATTTCTTTTTTTATTATTTGAGCATTTGGGTGACTAGAAATGTAGTAGGTTGACATTAGAAAAATAAACTTCTAATTAATTTAATAACTGGCTTTCCTGTTTTGCAGTGCCTTTTTCTGCCAGTTTTTTAGTTTTGTGGTAGTTGCTGGTTTTTGAGCTACTGTCCATCAAACTTTTCTCTGGCCAGTTCTTTTCTATACTGAGTTATTCAATGAATAAACAGGTTCTACCTTAAGAGCATGATGGCTACCATGGAGGAGAGGTGATCCAAGGGAGACAAGGAAGTGCTTACTGAAATAAACATGAAGTTTTAACATCAGGCTAGAGATATAAATCAAAACCAAACCCACTGTCATGGAGTCTATCCTGATTCTCAGAACAACCCTATGGGACAGAGTAGAACTGCCTCATATAGTTTCCAAGTATGTAAATCTCTATGGAATCAGACTGCCAAATCTTTCTCCCATGGAGCAGCTGGTGGGTTCACACTATTGACCTTTTGGTTAGCAGCTGAGTGCTTTAATCATTGCCCTGTAAACCTTTCCCTTCCTCTCTCCAATGCCCGGTTTCATTTCCTAGAGGTCACTTCCATTAACAATGAATTGTGTCTTTGTATTAAGTTTCTTATTTATCTTACTTTACATACAAGCATATTATATGTTTGCCTTCATACTGATGGTATACATACTATTTTGAGCCTTGCTTTTTTTAATGTCATGATTACCTTAGAAATCCTCACATACAGCTCTGTCTCATCCTTTTTAAAGATTTGCGTGGTATTCCACTGAATGAATGTACCAAAATTTGTATACAAGTCTCCTATTGGTGAGTATTTTGTTTCTAGTGTTTCCCCTTTAATTCATTTACTGTTACAGTAAAAATACTTGCACTATATGTGATTATATTAAACCCAAGTTTGCATTCCAAGTTTATCATGAATGAGTTATGAGACTTTAGATTTATTTCAATATAAAATGGACATCATATTGCTTCCAGGATTGATGCAGGGATTGGAGATAGTGCACTGTATCATATATTCATTGGGCATATGAATATGAAATAAGTCTAAACCTAGTGCATAGGTTTAAGATATTTCTGAAGTTGATTTCAAGGAAATAACCTGCAGATTGCTTCAGGTATCTGATATTAAAGATTCTAGGTATGAAGTATTTCTTGTCTATGTGTGACACTCTGGTAAGGACAAAACTTTAGTGATGGTGAATTTATCAGTGGTTTCCAGAGATGATGGGTCGGGGGAGGGTATGACTATAAAGGGATAGCATGAGGGTTTTCTGGGAGGGTGATGGAACTGCTCTATACCCTGATTGGGTGTGTTAAAAGAAATTGATATAGGTGTAAAATTTATAGAACTGTATATCAAAAGAAAAAATGTCAATTTTATTTTATGATAATTTTAAAAAATAAAATAAACAAATGAAAATACAAGCCAGATTGGGGAGAAGTATTAGCATATTCCCTATCTGATAAAGGATATATATCTAAAATACATGCAGAATTCTAAAAACACAATTAAAACACGGGCAAAGTCTTGAACAAACACTTCACCAAGGTACCAATATAAAATGGCGACCATTTTGGATAGTTTGGCAGTTTGTTACAAACATATACATATACCTACAGTAAGATCCAGACATTCTACGCCTAGGTATTTCCCCAAGAGAAATCAAAGCATATGTTCGAAGACTAGTACATGTGTGTTATGGAAGCTTTATTTGTAATAGCAAGAAAAAAAATTAGAAACAGCCCAAATGTCCATTAAAAGGTCAATGGATAAACAAATTGGGATATAACTATATAATGGTATACTAAGCCACACTAAGAGGGAATGCACTATTGATATATAATTAAATGGATGAATTTCAAACCATTTTTGCTGAGTGAAAGAAGCTTGACAAAATGTATATGCTATGATTACATTTACATAAAATTCTAGAAAATACAAATTCATTTATAGTGACAGAAAGGAGATAGAAGTAGTTTCCTGGGGATGGGAGGGGGTGAGTAGGCAGAGGGGCAGAAGAAAAGGATTACAAAGGGCCCAAGAAAATTTTTGGGGTAGTGGATATGTTTATTGTCTCGATTGTAGTGTTGGTTTCATGAATGTGTATATATGTCAAACATCAAATTGTATACTTTAAATATGTGCAATTACACCTCAATAAACTATTTTTTTAAAAAGTATTTTTTCCCAAAGTGATATACTCCTCATACATCCAGTAAGTGGAGAAGGAACCATAGATTTTGCCAGTGTTTAATTCTTACCATCCAGCCGTACTTTAGCTTGTAAAACATCAGAGGAATAGTATCAAGGTGGATTAGCATTGCAATATATTTTACAATATCATGATGAAAATAAAAATGAACATATTAGTAGTAAGTCACTAACAGGTTATTATTTATTTATTTATTTATTTTTAAGCAGTAGGTATATTATGTATGGCATGTAGAATAAAGAATAGATATGGTCCCTTTACGTGAAGCAATTTGCAGAGTTGCGTCTGGTTGAAATTTGAACAATTCTTTGCATTTCTATAGTAGCTTTTAAGAAGGCTTTATAATGTGTTATCAAAACCACCCATCACCCTTGTTCAAAATGCTCTATCTTTTAAATATTGTAAATAAAAAATTAAGCCTGTTAATAATACCATTGCTTCATTTTTCTAACTAGATTGGGATCTCGGCCCTAGAATTCTACTTGTCTTCAAAGTTTCCTCCAGCAGGAAAGAAATCCTATCACTTATCCTGTGTAAGGATAGGGACAAATTCCTTTGACCTCCAGGCCAGTTATCTGTTGAAAAAAAGAGACATTTTGGTAAATGGTAATTCAAGAGTATTCTTTGAAAGCATTTTTACGATTTATAACTATATATTTAGCCACCTATTATCCTTGTTTTATTCCCTATCATAAAAAGGAATTACTTGGTTAAGTGTTTATGGTCAAACTCTATTATTCACACAGATAATAATTCAACTAGCAACTATTTACAAGTAACTTGGATTTAAAACTGAATTTAATCCCATTTCCTATCATCTTCCCATCTGTTAATGAGCTCTGGTGGTACAGTGGTTAAGGGATTTATTTGACTGCTAATCAAAAGTTTGGTGGTTCAAACACACCATGAGGCAATCTACTTCCATAAAGATTTATAGCTTTGGAAAACCAATGGGGGTCACTATGAGTCAAAATTGACTCAATTGCAGTGGTTTTTTTTTTCTGTTTGATTTATTCCCCATCTGTTAAGAAAGGAGTTTGAGTCAGATGATTTCTACATTTCTTTTCAGCTTAAAAGGTCTATGATATTGTGTTTGTTTTGTTGCAAAAAAATTATATCAAAAGCTTGAAAATACTCTTGTGACATCAAAACAATCAACTAATTTTGTAAACATGTTTCCAAGCTCATTCTACCAATTTGAAGAATTTCAACAAACGCTACTTAAGGTTAAAAAAAGAAAAAAAACCCCACAACTTTAAATAGTGTACTTGAAGTAGGTTAAACACAATGTCCTGGACTTTAGGTAACCTATAATCTAGAAAATCCAAATAATATGTTTTAAGTCTAGCATGATGAGCTAAATACAGTAATAGCTATGAAAGCTGGAAACTGTGTAAGGCAGAAACCTGTGAGAGAAGGAAAACTCAAGTATTTTCCACTAATAGAGAGCAATAGAAAAGTGTTAAGACTGCACCCCGTCAAAGGGGGAAAACTTGCAAGACCTGGAAAAACAAGGCAGTCCCATGGACTTCTGGCTCTCACAGGTTTCACAGTCTAATTACGTATGTTTTGAAAGTATATAAAAGTACTAATCACTCAGTTACTTAACAGAGGATTTTCTACCCCATGGCCAAAATAAAATGAATAGCCAGATCACCTTGAAAATCCCACCAGCTTCAGGCTGCCTCGAGAGACTCTTAGAATCCATTCCATCCCGTGCACAGGTCACATACATTTCAGAGTAATCCTTCCCTCCAAAGCAGCATGAAGTTGTCTTATCAACAGGCAATTTCACAGTTTGGAGTCTTTTCCCTAGATAATCAGGTATTACATTTAAACATTAGTTCCAGCACATTTCCAACCTGAGCCATGTTTCTGGATCACTTGAGGAGTAATAAGGAAGTTCTAAAACGAGGTCAGAATTCATCCATGTATTTAGCCTACCTTCCCTGAGATTTATTTTGAGCAAGAAGACTTATCTTGAACAGTTAATGCTGATGGTTGAACAACATGATGAACATATTTAACATCACTGAACTGTACACGTGACTCACTCACTCACTGCTGTCGAGTTGGTCCCAATTCATAGTGACCCCTCCTTGGGTTTCCAAGGCAGTATCTCTACGGAAGTAGATTGCCCAACCTTCCTTCTGAGGAGTGGCTGGTGGGTTTGAACTGCCAGGCTTCTGGTTAGCAGTCAAGTGCCTTAGCCACTAGGCCACCAGAGCTCCTGTACATGTGAAGACTGCTAAAATCACCAATGTTATCTATATACATAGCAATGATTGTGAGGATGGCACAGGAGTGGCAGCATTTAGTTCTGTTGTGCATAGGGTCACTATGAGTTGGAACTGAGTCAATAGTACTTAACAACAAGAATCTATGTATTACCACAGTTAAAAAATATTGAATAATAATAATAAATGTGTCTCCACAGGAAGAGAAGTTCTGACTATAAGTTTTGGACTTTATCATTGGCCTTTATTCAAAATCATCCAATTGAAACCTTTGACTATATCTCCAACTCCATCAGTAATGAGGTTTTTCCAGTCCTTAGTGTCTAGTGTTTTCTAGACATAGCTGGGACTTCTCATTTTGCTGTGGGCCTACCTGTCCCAGGATCTAAACGAATCACTCTTCCTCCATTGTAACAGGCCACCCAAAGCTTCCCCTCAGCATCTATACACATTCCATCCGGGATTTGTTCTTCTTTTTCCAACTTGTAAACACTTCGGCGGTTGGCTATGGGGAAAACAACAACAATAACAAACAGGCCACTTAATACTAGGCATCAAATAAATCCTCAAGTTGATCACAGATATTGATCATGTCTGCTTATCCAGTGTCTGGCATGTGGGCACCATGGATGGGATGTTTCAAAGATTTCTAGCCCTAAATCAAAACTATCCAGAAACATGAGTGGGCACCCCTCAACAAAGAATACTTCCCACATTATTTGGGGTGGATTCACTCCCTTTGGTTTGGGCACAAACATATCTGTTTAAGGCTACAAAGGAGAAGAGAAAAAAGAAACCAGAATCTTTACTAAACTACCAAGAGTTCTTTTGAGGCTGATCTGAACTTGAAGACCTTGCATGCCCACCTCAGATAAACCAGTCTGTAGTTAGCCTTTTGCTGTTTCAGCAACAAAAATACCTACTTGATTAACTCTAAGATCTAGAAGGCACAGGACTAGTTCAAGCACAAAAACTAGTGAAATGTCAGAAAGGGATCAAAATTGGAGATCCTGGATAGACTGGGAGAGAAAATGTGGAACAAATTTTTTTTAAAAAAAGACCAACTTTACTGGTTGGATAGAGACTGGTGAAACCCCCTAGACTATGGCACCCTAGTGATACTTTAGGCCTGGAATTGGACTCACTCCAGTGGCTTAAATCTCAGCCAAACAATGAACAGGTCTAAGAGCTGAACAATCAACCTGTGGGGGATCAGAAAGGAATCATTTGCATACGTATAAGGTAGGGAGGCAGGAATGCACAGGCAAGAAAGACACAGGGAAAGGATAACCATGTGGAGGAAGTGGTAGGGGAGCTGTTACACTGTGAGGAATGTAATTGGTGTCACAAAACAAAATGTCTATGAACTGTTGAATGTAAAACAAATCTACTTTATGAAATTTTACCCAAATCCCAATAAAAAGTTAAAACAAAAAAACACTAGTAAATTGTGTGAATTCTTATTCTGCCTGAATGAATGCTCCCAAATCATCACAACTAAGTATTAGAAGAGCTTGTTTCCAAAAGGAGGGGTATTCTGAAACTAACTGGCTGGCCTTCAAGGAGGAATCACAGTCCACAAAAAACAAATATCAAATGCAGAGGTGATGGCTTTGGAACACGCTGAATGTAACTAATGTCATTGAATTGTACACTTAAAAATGGCTAAAATGGCAAAGCTTTTGTAATATATATTTCACTACAATAAAAATTAAATCTATATTACAAAACCCAGGTCACCACAGTAATCAGATTGGGGCATATGGAAACTATGTTAAAATTGTGTTTAAAAAGAGCACTGCTCTGCCATATTTTGCCCTTTATTAAATCTGCATGAAGTGGCTTGTGATTTTTCAAGGTTTTTGCCTTTTTGGTTTGGTAGCTTTCATGAAACAGCTTCACAGTACTCCCTTCTAACTCCTTCTAAATAATTCCTTCCCTCACACTTTCGAACTATGGCTCACTTTAAGCACATTGATGGAGCTGAACTTTTCCAATCTGGAAGGCTGTTAATTTGTCTCTGAGTACTTGCCTATGGTTAACTAAAATACAAATAAGAAATGTCAACCTCAAATTCTAATTTTCTGTTTTTAATCCATTCTACTGTACATTATATCTTCAGATACCTCCTGGTAGAATGGGATCCATTTTACAGTGAGTGCCTTTCTGATGCTGGTGGCAAGAAAGGGGATTAAGGATGTATCCATATCATGCCAACTATTTGGAACTCTGGTGGTGCAGTGCCTAAGTCATTTGCCTGCTAACCAGAAGGTTGGTGGTTCATATCTACCAGCCGATCCACATAAAGATTTATTGCCTTGGAAACCCAATGGGGGTCGCTGTGAGTTGGAATCAACTCAATGGCAGTGAGTATGGTCGTATTTAGTTGTGTTGAGGGCATAGTCAAGTTTGACTGGCAGTACAGTCAAGTCTCTGTGATAATAACTGTATTGGAATAACAGCATTGGAAAGCTTCCTATTTGACAAATAAAGACCTTTTCACTTGGAGTTGAAGAATAGGTAACTTACCAGTCACATAAATACAAAGAAAAAAAAAATACCAGGAATATTGAGAAAAAGAATTTAAAAAGTACATACATATCTGTCCTGTCTGCAGGTCATAGTCAAAGGCATCCACAGAGTAGGAGAGACTGTCGATATAATAGAAGATTTTGTGGTCTAGGGACCAATCCAAACCATTGGAGATGTCCACCTGGTCAAAGTACTTTTCCACATGGTGGTCAGGAAAAAGGGAGTACAGGGACCCTTGGTGCAGTTCAAGAACTGCTGGGGCTACTTCCTCAGCCATGGTACCTAGAAAAACCAAAGAGCAAAGAGCTCAGCCCCACACATCTTACCCCATGCACTATAGCATTTTTTCTCTCCAAGGATCCTTTCTAGTGTTTAAATCCAGAAAATCATTATACAATCCCAATCTGGACCCCTCCCCCCCTTTTTAATGGTAACTACCTAGGAAATTAAGTTACAACTGTACTAAGAGGTTCTGATTCTGGCTAAGATGGAGTAAACCCACACAAGCCTTACTCTCCCACTAAACACAACTATAGAACCTGAAGAGAATGCATGGCGCAGCTATTTGAGAACTCTGAAAACAAAAATAAGCAGTGGGTAGATAAGGGAAGAACATCACAATTTGAAGCACCACTGAATTGGTGGTGAGTTCACCATTTTTTTTCGTTTAGTATCTCCAGGCCTGAACTCAATGCAGCCTGAAACTCAGAAGTGAGCTGTCTAATTGGGGTTTCAAAAGCTTGTGAGAGGACTAAGACGCAACTATTGGTCTCTCCAGGTCTGGAGCAAAGAAGAGCAAAGAAAATCAAAGACATGTGGAAACAATTAGTACAAGAGACTTGCTAAACATGGGAACTCAGCATGCATGACCCTGAGATCAGAGGAACCAGATGGGGCCTGGCTACCACTGACAACCACTTGGAAAGGGATCACAATTGGAGATCCTAGATAGAGTGTGAGAAAAATGTAGACAAAATTCAAAATCACAAAAAAGACCAGGATTACTGGTTTGGCAGAGACTGGTGAACCCCCCAAGACTATGGCCCCTAGTCATCCTTTGGGTGTGGAATTGAACTTACTCCCCGTAGCTTAACTTTCAGCCAAACAACAGACGGACCTACATGGTGAACAATTACACCAGGGAGGTACACTCCTTAGAAAAATCAACCATGGAGATCAGAAGGGCAGCATTTGTAAGAAAGTTCAAAAGGCAGGATACATAGGAAAGAAGGACACAGGGAAAAGGTAATCACAGAGAGGAAGTGGAAAGAGAGTTGTTACATTGTGGGGATTGCAATCAATGTCACCAAACAAAATCTGTATGAACTGTTGAATAGAAAACAAAATTACTCCATAAAGCTTCACCTAAATCACAAGCCATCTGGTGCAGATAGTGAGAGATACAAGAGAAATTTCTGTATCTGGCTCAAGGAGCAGAAAAGGAAATTCCCGAGGCTCCGAGAGTGGGGGAAATCCCCCACCTTTCCCACTCCTTTTTCTCCATTTTCACAACCATCAGTCCCCAGGCAATTCTGTATCAGGGATAGCAACAGTAGATAGAGTGGGTGGCAACAGGAAACCGCAGGAGCTAAACCTTACTCTCCTTCCAGTGAAGCTGTAGCTCCAAAGGGGCAGAGCCAGACTGTTGCTTTTGTATTTTCTCTCTTGCTGCATGGCCCAGAGGCAGCACAATTGTAGAAGTGGGTGGTTTCTGGCTGTAGAAATGAAAGGGGGACTCCAGGAAACTGTAAAGTACTAGGAGAGAGTGAAGAGGTAGGCGCTCTGGAGTGCGACCCCATAGAGCTGTTTCTCATCTCCTGGGTGCAGCCTGGACTTGCATATACACGGCTCTGATTCAAATTAGCTGAGTTTTGGGAAATAGATCACCAGGCCTTTCTTCTGAGGCATTTACTGGCTGACTCAAACCTAAGAGGTATTCAGGTGTTGTTTGTACTATTCTTCTATTTTTTCTGTAAATTTGAAATTATTTCTAATTTCAACATCATCATCAACCAATGGGGGAAAAACCTTTTATTTAAAACTCATTTAAACCACAAAATTAACATACATATTAATCTTTGCTAGAGACAGAAATTAAAAGGGATACCTAGAAAATTTTTCTCATTTTAAAAAAAAAAAGTGATATGCTTTTACTATTATAGCAAGTAAGCCCTTTATTAGTTATATTATGGCTTTCTCCAAAGCTCAGTAACTGATTAATCATACCAGCAAAGTATCTCCCAGCAGGATCCACCTTCCCATCATTGAATCGATTATTTTTCTTGTCTTTATCTACTGTGGCCAGGACAACTGTTGACTGATCTTCCCAGTTCAAAGCACAGAACTTTGTTCCAACTGTGGCGACATAGCCTCCCAACTGGCGAAGGGCCACAGAGCTGACGGGGGCATCTACAAAGGCAAATGCAGTAGTCAGAATGCAGCAAGCGGGCCAGCAGCTGAGCAGCCCCCTGAGGCCATCACCTACCTGGTATCTCTTAGAGAAAGAATCTAGCTCTTTCAACAATGGGAGTGCTTGCTATCTTCCTTTTGCTGAATAGTGACAGCTACATAAATCAAAAATACCAAACCTATTGCCGTTGAGTAGATTCTGACTCATAGCAACCCTATAGGACAGAATAGAACTGTTCTGAGACTATAATCTTTATGGAAGCAGACTGCCACATCTTTCTCCTGTGGAGCAGTAGGTGGGTTCCAACTGCCGACCTTCTGGTTAGCAGCCAACCACTGCACCACCAGAGCAACTGGAGAGCTACATAACCGAGTATGTTTTTGTTGAGCATGAACTCTGTGTGCTGTTCTGGGCAGCAAGAATAGAAAGGTGAATAAAACCCAAATCTTCTGGAAGCTCCCAGTCTAGTGGGAGGAAAAAAAAAAAAAAAAAAAACACTGCCATTGAGTCGATTCTGACTGATAGGAATCCAATAGTACAGAGTAGAACTGCCCCATAGGCTTTCCAAGGCTGTAAATCTTTATGGAAGCAAACTGCCTCATCTTCTTCCCATGGAGCAGCTGGTGGGTTCAGACAGCTGATCTTTTGGTTAGCAGTCCAATGCTTTAACCACATTGCCACTAGAGCTCCTTCAAGTGGGAGAAGCAGAGAAAATACAATATAACCACAATACATTGAGGCAGGAGCCCCAGTAGAGGAATATATCAAGTTCAGAAGTGGGGTTGCTGACCTAGAGGCAGCCAGAGCAACTCACAGATGCTCAATTTGCCTGACATCCAGGAAATTCCAACACAAAAACTGTTTGGTTACAGCAACTAGGTTTTGTGAACACGTTCCCTTCCCTCCCTCCAAAACAAAACAGATTGCCAGGTCTTTTCATGGAGCTACTGGGTGGGTTCAACCCCCTAACATTTTGGTCAGTAGATGAGTGCAAACTGTTTGAACCACCCAAAGATGTTCCCTCCAATACAGGGCTTGCCTTTTTAAGGAGCCCTATTTTATATGTATTTAATTGAAAATTGTTTCTGAAATACTTTTTAGAAATAAACATGATATAAGTAA